GGGGGGGGGAGTGTTGGCTTTGCTCTGCGTTATCATTATAAACACATGTGAGATAACGTCGGTGTAAGCGCCAGGCGCCGGTCTGTTACCCATTATATAGTCGTGTCACATGATGGGCCGTCACCGGAGATGAGATGAAATATTGCCGGGCAGTGCGGTGGATGACTCAGATTTTCCTCGCTGTCGCTGGCATCGGCACCGGTTCGGTAACTATCAACGAAAACAAATAACAAAATCTGTTGTGTGCGAAATCTCAACCGGTTTCCTGTCGTTGGTGGAGAAGGAATTTGGTCCTCAATATTGTATATGACTATGGAAGGATTATCCCACAACCAACATCACCATTGAGACTCGGGGGATGAATCCTCGGGCCTAGGCATATAGGGAATTTCATCGGCTCCCTGTGATGTCGGTGGTGCTGTGCGAATGGCATATAGCCGGGTGGAAGATTTTTATAAAGAAGTCCTTTTTAGTCTTGGCTGTGCCACTGGATGGAGCATAGGAAATTCCTGTGCTCCTCAGCTCCATCTAGTGGCGGGAATGCCGTGCGAACTGCATTCGCCCACTTGTATGCTGGTGGAAGTTTTGGTAAGTTAACCCTTTAGGCTTTGCTCGGCCACTAGATGGAGCAAAGGGCATTCCTATGTTCCTAGGCTCCATCTAGTGGCAGGAGTGCCATGCAAACTGCATTGGCCCAGCTTTACGCAGGGCAGAAGATCTAGAATTCAACCCCCCCCTAGTCTCCATTATGCTGTTGGTTGTGGGAAAATGTTCCTTCCGTAGTCATGTACAATATAGAATACCCAAAAAAGGACACAACTCTGTAAGACTTATGAGTTGACCAACAGATACCGGCGCCGCCGGTTGCAAGAGAATAGCCAACTTGGACGTTTTGTAGATACACAGAAGAGGTAGCTCCCACCGGTCAAATAGACCCTCGATCTGGGAAGTACAAAGCAAAACAGAGCGCCTCCATCGTGTAAAAAGTGATTTATTTGTATGGCAACACAGCTGAAATTATACTCGCAAAAGTTGGTTCTGGAGATAATCTACTAGAGGGTGACAGACATAGTAGTGTCCTCCAGTGGTATCTCCTGAGGTGTATATGGAAACAGTAACATGCTGGTGAATCGGTGATCAGTGGCGGAACTACCAAGGTCGCAGCTGCGACCAGGCACTGGAGTTCCGCCACTTGGAGGGGGCCTAGGACGGGGCCTGTAGTAACCGCTGATTACCAGGATATTTAATGTCCTGGTAACCGCTAATATCAGTACCGGGGTTTCTTCCTCCTGTCCTGGGCCCTTCGTGTTTCACGCTGCTCCCCCTCGCCTTGTTCCGGACGCAGTGTGAAGAAAGATCGAGCCGAGCGCAGCAGCCAATGAGTGGGAAGCGGGTTATCCCCCGCCCCCTTATCACACAGAACGGCTGCCCGAGCGTAGAGCTGCCTGTGTGCTATGGAAAGCTCCAACTCCCCGGGTGTCAGAGGTGCTGCTGACATGAAGAGGGAGTTATAGGGAGCTGAGATTATGAAGGGGACATGTGAGAGGAGAGTGTGGGGTCAGGGAGCTGAGGTCACGCCTCTAGTTACGCCTCTGCTGGTGATGCAAGTAGCTTATTGTGGTCATAGCAGGAGTAGTAGGAGATCTCCCTTCCAGGTTGCAAGCAGTGAAGTCCTGGTAGCCCCCCTTCTTATTGGGGATATATAATATATACAGTCTGAACATCTCTTTTATGTTCTTTGCAGGGAGAGGCTTGCGGAAGAGTATGAGAAGACGGGCGAGCTGCTGGTGGACTTGGGATCCGACCAAACCTCCTGCCACAACCCCTTCAGCGGCGGCTATTACCCGGTACAGCTTTCTTTCCAGGATGCCAACCAGATGCTCTGCGCCGACCCTCAGACCTTCCGCCAGCACATCCAGGAGAGGTAAGGGGGGTCAGCACGGCCTTGTTAATGATAAGCAGAGGAAATGCTGCACATGGCACTTTATTTTATTAATGCTGCCAAAGAAAAGGACAAAGTCCTTTTTATCTGGGAATAAAGTCAAACGCATCAAACTTGCTGACATTTGTTTTGTAACGCAGAGTTTTGCTGAACTTTTTAACAGTAAACTAGTTGACGTGACAAAGGAATGTCCAAGCACTGTGGGTTAGCTAGAGGTCGCAGAACAGCTTGTTTTGAGGCTCCCTTTGTCTGATTGAAGCCTCCCACTTAACCCTTCGATTTAAATGATAAGCCACCGCTGTGGTGATTTCGGTAGCTCACGATTTTTAAGACCCTTTCTTGAGGTGTGTGGGTTTGTTTTTTTTTTGGTTTTAATCGTTTGAACTATGCCAGTCTTTTAAAAATACACCTGTAATGGTATACATTGGAGTGTTTTTTTTTTTTTTGCTTTTTAACAATTCACAGGGCCATTTGCCCTGTGAAACTCCATGAATGGAACCCAAAATGCATTTTCTTAGTACTTTTCCTTTCCAGTTCAAATGTAATGATGATTGTATGTAATTCCACATTATGGCCACTAGATGGAGCTGAGGAGCATAAGAAAGTAATTTGCTGAGCTCATTAGCGCCATCAGTGGCCATAATTCAATATTGCACAATGACATTCCAAATCCCATGTGTATCTATAAGACTGGGGTGGGGTGCTCGTAATGAATGCGGATGGCGCCGCCAGATAATGCAGGCGAATGCACTAGGAGTATTGTAGTCCAAAGCGTTTATCGGAACTATCGCTTTCGGGCCACGCATTGCTGAGCCTGATGAAGGGGAGCCCGAAAGCGCTAGTTCTGATATGAAATTTCAATAAACAAGCGCTTTGGACTACCATACTCCTGATGACATCCATTCACCTGTAAGACTGGCAGGCAAAGGCATCCTTGCACACCCCCTGCATCACAAGGGGTGTGCAGGGGGCCCCGCACCTGGATGACACCATTTTGGATGGGTGATGCCAAAATGACTGACAGTCGGGCATCTCGGGTCACGGACCGACAGCCCGACCAGTATCCGGAGAGAGGGGACCTGGCGGCATACTTTATCCCGGCGGGTGAACGTCCCCTCCTCTCTCTGCCGGCAGGTATCAATAAGATTGGCGCGCATGCACGATGATGTCACAGCGGGGTGACACCAGGCCCTGGAATGCCCCATGACTCGCAGAGGCATGATGGGATCTGTATTTTCAACACACACATAGTCATGATCTAGAATTCTGAACTTTGTCTCTTGCAGCCTGAGGAGGCAGATCGCGGCGATCAACAAGCTATCGGATCACGGCTTGTTCTTCTGGGATTACGGGAATGCATTTCTGTTGGAGGCTAAGAGAGCAGGTAAGGGAATATCGGCCAGTCAGGATGTCAATGGACAGATGTTGGGAGTCGGAAGTACAATCCTATATATGTATTCTTGAGGAAATTTCGGGGCCACGCAGGGTCCCCTTCATCGGGCAAAAAGGTGATGTAGACCCTGCATGGCCCCGAACATCATGTTATGTGATACTGAGAATGGGTCAATAAAGGCATATTGATCAGCATACTAGAGTGCCAGTGACCCCCCCCCCCCCTTTTCTGATATCTGGCTGAGGAGCGTAGGAAATGTTGTTCTTTCCTACACTTCTTGGCTCCATTTAGAGGCCCAAAATGTAATATTTGGAAAATACCTGATTATGACCACTAGGTGGAGCTGATGAGCATTTGAAATACAACGTTCCTATGCTCCTCAATCTGATGAAGGGGACCCTATGTGGCCCCGAAACGTCGTGTTATGGGATACCGAGCATGCGTCAAATTTTCCCGTATAAAAGGAAATTAAATTTTTGTTCTCTGGGTTTAAATATTATTCAGCTGAAATGTTATGCCTTCCCAGGTGCTGATGTGGAGCAGAAAGGAGGAAACAGTACAGAATTCAGATACCCGTCCTACGTCCAGCATATCATGGGGTGAGTCCATTTTTGATTCTACATGGGATTCCCCCTCAAAATGACATCTCGGCCCCTGATGAAGGGAGGTGTTAACCCTAGAAATGTGTTGGCTCTCTGATACTCTTGTATCCTTTCCATCCTTTTCAATCAAATGATTTGGACTCTTCTACATTAGGTGGTGCACCCGTTTTTTGCTCCAATAGTATTCACCTCAGATGGTGACATTATTAATCTTTTTAAATCACAGTTTCTCAGGACGCCCTTCAGCGGAATGAGTTGAATCCTAAAGATGTTTTTCTTTGCCTGTGGCTGCTAAGCGATTGCGGCGTCTCCCCCAGATTAGACGGAACGCGTCGGACAGGAATCGGCGAGGAATCTCAAACATCTGCTAATTAAGTTGTGTTTTTGTTCCACCTCTTAGAGACATCTTTTCTTTGGGTTTCGGGCCGTTCCGATGGGTGTGCACCTCCGCCGAGCCCTCCGACCTTGCTGCCACGGATGAGATCGCAGCCGCTGCATTGGAGGACATTATTTCCCGGGGAGGTGACGTCTGTCCTCTATTATGTGTCGCTATGTTACAGAACTGGCTGGTTGGTGGATACAAATGAACTCTACCATACGATAGTTTTGGGATTATATAGGGAAGAGCTTTGGTCCACCTCAGCCGAGACCAACCGGCTATCCAATTACACAGATATTGATTTTCAATTCATTTATTGGGGGATGAAAGCCGATTGGATCGTCCCCTGGCCTCTTAAAGGCAAACTCCATCTTTTTAAATAAATGTTATGTACACACATTCAGAAAACAACAAATGTGCGTTCATTATTTTGTTGATGAAGCTGTGTGGGTGGAGCCACATCAGATTAAAAAAACCTGTCAGGAGCCTATGGGGAGGTGAATCCTGTGATTCAGGTAAGTGTGGGGAGGGGGGGTTGGGGTGGCATTTGGTGGCTGGCAATGTGGCCATGTTTCATGGTATAACCCCCTGAATATGGATGTAACATGAAACATGGGGGTCTATTTATAAAAAAGTCGCAGGGCCATTTGTCCTGCATATGCTGGAAGGCTAATTGGCTCCAGTCTAAATCAGCCCACTGTGCATGTAAGATCGTGACCTTAGATTGTAAGCTCCTTGAGGGCAGGGACTGGTGTGAATGTGCAACTCTGTAAAGCGCTATATACATAGCTGTAAAAAAAAAAAAATCTGAATGTTTGCTCTCTGCGGATACGTGCCACAACAAACTTTTTTTTCTTTCATTTCTTTACAAGGGAATGTATTCTCAAGGGAATTTGTTTTCCATGTAATATTGCATTATGGCCACTAGATGGCACTGAGGAGCATACAAAATACTTGTTTCCTATGTTTCTTTAGCTCCATCTAGTGGCCAAAATGGGATATTACATGAAAACATTTTGAAAATTAATTCTTTTAGAAAAAAACAAAACAGTTCCCTGTGGCATATATGCGCACAGAGAAGTTCAGCAAATATATGCTGTGGGGGTTGCTTGAGAGTTATGTCAAAAGAAGTTATTCTTAACTTTGTCATTTTGGATTATTTCATTTGGATTTGCATTAACTTTGGATTGTTATACATTAAAAAAAAAAAAGACCTCCCCAGAAAATAAGACCTAGTGTGTTATTTTGAGCCAAAAAAAATATAAGACAGTGTCTTATTTTCGGGGAAACACGGTACCTTCCTCTGTTCCCGAGTCCTTTCCCCAGTTCCCTAATTGTAGTCCTCTTCTATATACATGTGACCCCATGCCCTTCCTGTATTCCCCACTGACTCCAGTCCCTTCCCCTATTCCCTAGAGATCCCAGGCCCTTTCTCTTTTCTTCTATAGACCCTTCTATTTCCCCAGAGTCCCTTCTTCTATCCTGCAGAGGCTCTGTTCTCCAGAGATCCCAGTCCTTTCCCCCATAGCCCAGATTCCTAGGAGACCCCAGGGCCAGGACACAGGCTATAGTTCAGCAAATATTTGCTGTGGGGGTTGCTTGAGAGTTACTATTAACTCCTGAGCAACCAGAAACTACAGTTACCCGGCATCTACTGATCCACGTGGATGCCGGATAACTGGGAGTTTACTGTACTTTCTAGGCATGCTGACTGTCACGGTTGCCGGTTATTTCAGCTCTCAACCAAACTTTCAAGCCCCCAGATGGCTGGTGTCATAGCTGATCATCACATATGCAGCACCATGGCAAATGCAATCCAAATAGAATCTAAGGCACCTTCCTTGGATGTAAAGGATAGGAGGATGCGGTTCTGCTTTACGGAACAAGCAGACTCAAAGTATAACAGACCTTAAAGTATGTATGGAAAGATGGGCCAACCTGTCCATCAAGTGTGTGTGTGTTAGGATTCCAGCGGAATTATCACTGCACTGCCTGTGGCTCCATCATGATGAGGTCTCACTCTCTCTCTGTTGCACTCTTCACTTGGACTGAGACTCCATGATGGGGGAAGGGCAGGGCAGGGAATCTGGTCATGCATCTCTCTACTGGAGTCCTTGTGAGATAAAGAGGCATTGGGCCATCATTTTCTGGTGGACTGGCCTTTGGACTTAAAGGGGGTGCAGAGCTTAGATCTGTTTTTGTGTCATCATCTCTGATCTCTGGAAATGATGAGGAGGACATCTTCTCTCCGCAGTTAGTGATCCAGTCCAGAAGCAATACGAAGACAACATTCGATGGATCCGGGAAGCTGGAAAACATCAACTGGTATTTATCTCCTTTTTTGGTTTCCTAAAAAGTCCGGCATCATGTATAGGACTCGGAATACATTTTTCTTTTTTTCTTCAGGTCGTCGGCTCTCAAGCAAGAATATTGTATTCTGATCAGAAAGGACGGGTCGCCATCGCCGTCGCCATAAACAACGCTGTAGCCACCGGCCAAGTCAAGGTAACGCAGGATAAGGAACGCGGCCGTAACTGTCCTTTCATGTAAAAGGCAAATCTACAGAATGTCTGCGAAAGTTCTCCTGTGTCCGGGTCCTTATAAACTTTTACTTTTAGATACATTGTATAAACAATGTCATGATCTTGAAAGCCGATCTCCAGGATTTGTAAAGGTTAAGCTTTGTCGTGGGTCTATCCCCCGCACTGCAAGGGTTAGACCCCGTTCACACTGAGCGCTTTATCGTGCGATTTCAGCTCCAAAATCGCACAAATATATCAGCTCAATGTCGCTCGTCCAATGCATTTCGATGGAGCTGAAATGCAACCCCCGAGGCCTGCTCCCTATCAGCATGTTTTTTGTTTTTTTTCACTTACCTTCGGTGCGGGAGAGCAGCGGCGAGTCAGCGCTGGTCCGGTGGGAGGAGCTCCAGGTGGGGTCCTAATTTAGCTGGCCGGCGACTGCCAGAGGATCCCGGCACCTCTGGCAGTCGCGGGCCAGCTAAATTAGGACCCCCCACCTGGAGCTCCTCCCACCGGACCAGCGCTGACTCGCCGCTGCTCTCCCGCACCGGAGGTAAGTGGAAAAAAAAAACATAGCGCAAGCATCGGGGCATTTTGACAAGTACTTGTCAAAATGCCCTGTTTTTTCGCCCTCACCCTGCAGCGCCCTCAGGCGGCCGCCTGACTTGCCTTGCGGTAGCGCCGGGCCTGCCTGTAGCTCGTTGCTCAAGCTTGTAGCTCGGACATGACCTATTTTTCGGTGGATTTTGGGCGATTTGGCTCAATAGTCTTTAATGTAGCTCAATGTTGCGCGACATTGTCTCTCTACAGAAGTGTCACTTTTGCACAAAAATATAAGAAAGAAGGAATGATGTCGCATCAAGACCGCTTTTGATTGGTTACAGCCCAATGTAGCGGCTACGAAGTCCCTGTGAAAAGTCACGCTACGTAGCGCAACAAAATGTGCACTGTGGCTCAATGTCGCTCAGCTCAAGATCGCTGTGTGACTGGGGTCTTAACTGCTCATGTTGGTCTACAACAGAATAAAGAAGATGCACTTACCCGATCCGATCCAATCAGCGCTCGCCTTTCTCCCCCTTGCTCTGGCAGTGGCATGACCCTCGGCAGGGTGACGTCTGATGCAAGTGACTGGGCCTCGCATAGATGTGAGGACTTCAGCGGTCCTTAGACCACTGGTGCC